AACTCAAATCTTTATTCCATTGTCACTGTAGTTAGATTTTAGTAATTTAAAATAATTGAGTTGCATACCTAAACAAAATTTTTATACACATATATTTTTTTTATTAACTTTTTGATATTTAATAATTATATTAAATTTCAATTAATTCAGAATCGAACCACATTAAACTAATTAAAAAAAAACTTTTTACTGGATCAAAGGAAACTCTACCTGTGCTAAGTTCAATTTCGTGGACTTAATGTCAGTTCCCACTCCATCGTGTAGTTGATTTTTAATTTCTTATTAAACTTTTGATGTAATGCACGGATGAGTATCTCATATACTTTTCTTATTAATAACACTTTTGATTCATAAAAAAAAATTAAAAATTTTTTTTCTTAATCAAGAGGAGAAGTGAGAAAAATAAAAAGATATAATAAATGTATTTTTATCTTGTATCTTAAGGATACAAGATAAAAAATTTTTATAATTTAATATATCAATTGATAAAATTTAACTTAATTTTTATTTTTTATATAAAATAATAATTAAAAAATATAATAAATGTATTTTTATCTTGTATCTTAAGGATACAAGATAAAAAAACATTTTTCAATAAACAAAGAATCAACCACACAATTTAAATAGTCTCTTACTATTAAGAATTGTTCTTTTCATCTAAATTATTTATCAATTAATTGATTTAAACTTGAATTATGAATTTAAAAGTAATCACCATTGTGATTAAGGTGGCGATCCTTCGGTGACTTGTATTGTGAATAAAAATACAAGGTGTATAATAATCACTCATACTGAAATTAAAAAATTAAAAAAAATTGATTATTCTTTAATTTTCAATTCAATATATTTTTTGACATTTTATTTAGTTTAATTATTAAAAAATAATATAAATATAATTAATTTAAACAATTCTTACATGTTATATGCATAATTATATTTTAAAATTTATTTATTTTTAATTTTAAATCAAATACAATATATTAAATTATATAATATAGCAATCAGTATCCGATTAAAAATTTGTCGCTATACCAAAACTCAAATCTTTATTCCATTGTCACTGTAGTTAGATTTTAGTAATTTAAAATAATTGAGTTGCATACCTAAACAAAATTTTTATACACATATAT